GAGGGGAGGGGAGAGAGAGGGGGGTGAAATGGATTTATCGGGAGAAAATTCCCCGATTTGTTTTTCACATAAATTTGTCGATGAAACAACCGACGATGCCTAAAAAAAAAAAAAAAAAAAAAACCCAAAATGAAAAATGATTGACAAATTTTTTTTTTTTTTTTTTTTTTTGTGTGCCATATTTTTGGCAATTAATATCCTGCCAATTTTGGCACAATTTAAACAAAAAGAAAATTTTTTTAGATTCTAGAATAAAAATTATTGCGTTTATTTATTTATTTATTTATTTATTTTTTTGTGTTAAAGACCCTTCATAGAGTTCAATGATTTCGCACGAGGTTTTTTTTTTTTTTTTTTTTTTAAATTAAATTAAAAATAAATTTTTACGACAGATTATAAAAAAAGAAAACTTATTGAAAATTACGACTTAATTTTTTTTCCCACATATAATACATAAATTATTTATTATTATTATTATTATTTCGATGCCCTTATTAATAGTATATAAGTTGGTCAAAAGATTTAATATTTTATTACGTAATAACACGTAGTATAGGTAATAACGGTCGATCAAATAGAGCATGATGTATTATTGCAAAAAAAAAAAAATACATAAACCTATGATATTTCTATTTTTTTTTTTTTTTTTAATCTAATAAAAAATTAATTTCGTTAAAAAAAAACAAACAAACAAATTATTAATAGAAAAAAAAAAATGGCGTACTAGGAAGAAGAAAATGTTCGTTTTTTTTTTTTTTTTTAAACTTTAGAGAATTTAAAAATGGCCGATAAATTATTATTTGTTAAACATTAAAAGAATTTTATTTATGTGTGTGTACCTTAAATCAATAAAGGTACTCATCATTTGTTTAAATATATTGAAAATTTACATTCCAAGTTTTTTGTTTAAACAAAAAAAAAAAAAAAAAAGAAATTTGAGGGTTTGTTAATGATATAAATTTTTTTTTAATTTCTTTGTTTAGTTTTTGTCTAATCCAAGCTGTAACTTTTTTTTTTTTTATTAATAATTTGGCAATGTTTTCAAATGTTTTAGGAAATTTATATGATTATTTATTTCTTTTTATAAACACAAAAGAGAAAAATAAAACTTATTTTTTTTTTCAAAATAAAATCGCCATGTTTGTTTTATTCCCCCCTCTTCCCCATCATTTTATTTCCGTATAAAAATACAAAAGACGCATTTTTTTTTTTTTTCCTGTAGGTTACACAAGGTCATGTAACGGGCTTTTAGCCAATACGATTCTTTGAAAAACAGGAAGAATTTAACTTTTTTTTTTTTTTAAATTTTTAGGCGCGTTTCAAACCCTGTAACTTCCATTTTTTTTACGGCGTAATTTATGTACCTAAAAAAAAAAACAAAAAAAATTTTTAAATATCTTAAATATCATCGTTTAAATTCTTAAACAGACAACATAACAAAAAGAGACAAAATAAATTAGTATCAATAATTTTATTTTAAAATAAATAAATAAATGATAAATAGATACATTTTGATAATAATAATAATAATAATATTGTTATTCATGTTTTAAGATTTTTATATTACAATAATATATATATATAAATAATTTAAAATTCGTTTTTAACGACGATTTGACTAGATATCAGTACAATTACTATAATAACGTTATAAATTTATAAATCATTTAAAATATTCATTATTAATACATAAATAAATAAATAAATTCCAGTGCAAAGTGCCTAAAAATATAAAATTAATTGTATAAGTACTCTTTTTATAAAAAAAAATAATTCGTTTAAACAGACGGTATTTAACAAATTGAAAAATGAAAAATAAATGCATGTTTACTTTGATTCCATGAAAAATTACATAAATACGATTAAATAATTAATTTGATTTGACAATGACGAGTAAAATAAATAAAAATAATACGGTGACGGCTAAGCATATGATACAAGACATTTTTCTATTTTTTTTCTGATATCTTTCCGCTTTTTGTAACTGTTGAAAACCCTCGTGAACTTGAACTGATGTTTTTTCAATATTGTAGTCAATTCTATCTAATATGGTTCCCTGAAATAATTTACAATACGAAAATTTCAGTCTGGAATTTAATAAAAGTCAATTTAAGTGATAATTTAAGCAGTACCTGATGTGTGACCATTTGAGCAAAGTCTTTGTAAATTTGATTAAGATCTACAATTGATTTAACAATTTGTTTAACTTCTTCTTCTCTTTTTTCCGCTAACCTCATATTGTCTTCTTCTAGTAACAACAATTGTTGTTGTGTCATTAAATGAGACTGACCTCTACCGAAAATTTGATCAATGTTATCTACTTCATTGTCTATTAAATTCAAATCGTAATCCTGATCTAAGACATTTAAATATTTTTTCGATCTTTCTTCCCTCAAGTCAATGGCTGGGAAAAAAAATTCAAATAATTTTAATGATTGTAAGCAAAATTTCAAAATTTTTTTTTTTTTTTCCTATGATTAAGTACTTACTTTTTAAATAATTATTTTGTGTTTTTCTAAATGTATTCGATGAATTTTGAAGAGATGCAGCCAAGGATGCCATTACATTTTTTGCTAAGTTTCTTTCTGTGTTACTTCCATTTTGACTTTGCTTTTTGATTGTATTAAGAAGTTTATGACAGTTTGAAAACATCTGAAATAAAGGCTCGATTTTAAAATATACTTTTCAATGTGATTAAATGAAAATTATGTGTTGATTTTGTATGTTTTATTTCTATTTAACATAGCATGTGCATTAAAAATAAAAACATAATTTTGTTAAGCAAATCGTAATTAACTTACTCTACTAATATCTCTTGTAAGAACTTCAATTTGATGTTGATCATCAGCCGAATCATTTAAGGTTGGCCTATGTAAATTCTTTTTATGAAGGTTATCTAATTCTTGAATTTTTGAATTTAATCTAATCAAAGCATATTGGCACTCTTCTACTTGATCAGTCCACGCTGGAGGAATGCTACTAAAATCATCATGTCTACCATCTCCTTGCTCGACTAAAGCTGCTCTGTCATTCAAAATCTAAAAAAATGTAAATAGAATATTAGGCGAACGTAAACAAAATAATTAAAAAAATTTATTATTACTATACAAAAAATCATGACCTGATCATTATAAAAATTCCTATTCTGAATAGCATTATTTCTCATTAACGTAAAAACATCTGTCAAACTTCGTACAGCCATTTTTTCCCAATGCTCATTTAATTCAAATTAATTTGTTATGTTTATACAACTCATGATATTTTTATTTTATTTTGTAATTGAAAAATTACAATTTGTATTATTATTATTCATTTAAAAATATATATATATTGTATATATTTATTGTTTTTTTTTTTTTTTTTTTATAAATTTTTTAAAAAGTAAATGTAATTATAAAAAATATAAGAATTGATTTAAAACAATTCCATCTGATATCAAAATCACACTACTAATCGACATTTTGAAGTCAAAGTTCTCTTTTTATCGTGGCACTAACATTTTTTTTAACCGAAAATAAATTTTCGTTTCTTTTTACATTAAAAAAACCGTTAAAAAATTGTGAAGTACAAAAGCCAAAAAATCATTCTTATTCATTGTTTTTTTTTCTTTTTTTGCTAGAAAAACGTCTTACGGTGCTTAAATACACTTTTAATCTATAAATATTGTTAAGATAAATGAATCAATAATATAAATACGCTTAATACTGAAGAAGAATTTCAGGTATTAATAAATTACTGTACCACAACTACTATGCCATTTTCTGATATGGGTTTATTTTTTAATTAGTAAAATGTTAATCATTTTAAAATTATCATAAACCATAATTATTATAATTATTAGGATTTTATAAAAGTTTAATTAAATAATTTAAAATTGCTTGATTTTGTTATAAAAAAATAATTATGCTTCTTTTTTTACATTTAGTAAATATGGCTGCCATTAAATTTTACAATTTTAATAATTTTATTGCTGTTTAAGGTTGTCAAAGTAAAAGTAAAATTATAGAAAATCTGATTTTTATATAAAATAGGAAATAATTTTTTTATTTGGAATACAAATTTTTGATACTATAGACCAGGTAAAAACAAAAATAATAATAATGAATTAATTGTTCATAAATAATTTTTTTTTTTTTTTTTTTAAAGTTAAATTACAATTGATGAATTTGTTTCAGGATTATTCAGGAAAAAAAATCAATTGTATACTTGTTTGGGAGGTAAAGAATGAGCAAGAACAAACAATTTCCCCTACTTCCCCTCAAATATTGAAGTTCTTTCCTCATCAAAACCTGTCAAAATCTGCACAAAAATATCTTTTTTTAATTTTTCCTTGAATCCTGTTTAACTATTTAAAAATTTTTTTTTTTTTTTTTTTTTAAATAAAATAAAATAAAATAAAACTGCCAATTTGTGGAAATTGCTGTGTCGTGAAGCATTTTTAATAACTTATTAATAATAATAATAATATTGAATAAAAATGGATGTGTGGTTAGATGGTCAAGGTTTATATAAAAAAAATACTGCATTAAATGGCACATGTTTATTTCGGGCTGTTGCTGATCAATTATTTTCTTATCATGTACCCAACGGTCACATTTTGCTAAGAGAACAATGCGTTAAATTTATGAGAGAAAATAGACATTTATTTGAAAGTAAAGTAAGTTGATATTTTATTATTATTATTTGTTAACATTTTTTATTTCTGACACATTTATATACAATAAGCATATTTTTATACATGTGTGTAAATATTTATAATTTTTTGTTTAAGGTTATATCTGGGCCCTTAGATGAATATTTGGATAATTTATCAGATTTAAAACAATGGGCTGGACAACTTGAACTGGAAGCACTTTCATTAATATACGGGTATAGTTTGGTTATACTCATGAGAGTTGATGTTTAAACTAATGAGAAAATTTATTTATTATTTGAATTTTTTTTTTTTTTTTCAGGGTTGATTTTCTCGTTTTTAAAAGTATCGATTTAGCACCCGTACCTGCCACTCAAAATGGTTACGAAAGAAAAATAATGCTTTGTTTTACACCGGATAATTTTTACGATGCTGTTTATCCTAAAACCTATATAGAAAATGCCGGATTTTGTCAATGTAAATTTTTAAAAAAAAATTTTATTTATTTAAAAATTTGTTTGAAATGTATTTTTAAAAAATGAAAAAATTGAATTTCAGCCATTGTTTACGGTATTTTATACAGAGGAGTATTTAAATTAGAAGATTTGGAATATGCTGTGGAAAAAATGCTTCACGATAAATCAGCCAGAGCCAGGCGGGAAAAATATTTAAATAATCAATCACAGGGAAGAGAGTAAGATTTTTTTTTTTTTTGTTTATATTTTGGATAAAATATGACAAATTTAAAATCGTTTTCGATATAATTTTTTTCTGTTCTTTTTTTTTTTTTTTTAGAGATTCGATTTATGATTTTTACTTGGAAGATTCATTAGGACCGATTAACATGAAAGAACTTTTAGATATGGGAGCCATTTTGTTTCCGTACAAAGTCGCAAAAGCTTTAGATCCGGATATATATAGAAATATTGATTTTGATAATTGGGTTGATACTTTGAGAGGTAAAATAAATTTATTTTGGAGTTTTCAATCGTTGTTTTTCCAATAAATGGCGGTAATAAAAATTTTTTTTATTTTTTTTCACTTTTCAGTTCCTAGAAAAAATAGTTTTTGCTTTGGAAATGGTGGTCCCCTTCGCGTGGGAGTCAAATGCCTATTGAAATTAGATGAAAATAGAGTTTATAATGCTCACGTACAAGAAATGAGTCCCGATTGCGGTCCTGTTTTAGTTTTCGTCGAAGAAATCGGTGAAAAGTATTTAAAATGTTTTATTGTTTAAAAAAATTTTCAGATTTACTGTGTGTAACTGTGTGACCTGGAAAATTATTTTAAATTTTTATGCGTCAGGTTAACTGTTCAATATGAAAATTTAGAACCTTTACCGCGAACATCTCTCAAACCGGAATGGACTTTTTCACATAAACATCAAATAATAAATAAATTTAGAGAATTAGGAATGACTAGCAATGATGATTCCGGTAAAAATAAAACGAGGAATAAAAACAGAAAAGGAAAAAATGGAATAAAATACGTACCGATGTTGGATAGGAAAAAGGAAAATTTAGATGTAACTTCGGTAAGAAAATATATATATATGGAATGAAGAATGTAAAAAAATGTATTTATAATAATAATGATGATTATTTCCGTAATAACAGAATCACGAAATAAATGAACAAAATCGTACGAATGAAAACCACAGGAATAAAATAAACGAATCCAACAGCAGCTTAGTTAGTTCAAATTCGAATAGCGTCATCATTGCCGAACCTGATTCCACGACATCCAACAACGTGACACCAAACAATTCTCCGGTACCGACTTATTACGGTAATAATATGATATTGACACCGTGCGGATGGACGAGTAATCCATCGCCACAGCCACAGATGGTAAAAACGGTGAATTTAACGGTTAACAAATCGGTGAAAATGGATTGCACGGATTTACCACTTTCAGATTTGGAAACCATCCGGTTCTTTTTTAACTTGGGAATAGACGTGAGTCAAAAATTGGGGAGGGGGGGGGAACGGATTGCAACGTCTAATATTTTTCTCTTCCATAGTATTTTCGTATGGGGTGCCTCGTGTGGCCTTCGTCTCCGGCCAACGAAGATAATACGGGATCAAAAACTCCTACGACGACGACGGTTCCTCGTCCCATAACAAAATCACCAGAAGAGGGAAAAATAGTAAAACCCGTGAAAACTCAAAAGAAACCACCGAGATTTTTGAAAATGGATCATGCAGATTCAAATAAAAATGGTGATAAAAAACACAAAGTTAAAATGGGGGGAGGGGGAGGGAAACGTTTTTAATTAAAAGTAAAATTTTATGTTGTAGATAAAACGCAGCGTAATGGAAGCTCAGAAGAAGATTGTAATTCCGAAACATTTATTTCTCCGGAACAAAATCAACAATCTCAACAGCAGCAGCAGCAGCAACAACAACAACAACAGCAGCCAATGCCACCCGTGGCTCAACATCCGATTCCGTTTGCGATTCCATTTAATCCTCAATATGCCGTACAATATTCGACGCCATATCACGTTCCAGCTTATCCGATCACTCCCATACAAGAAACGATACCGGTCGA